GTTCCGGGTTGCTGCGGCGCTTCCTCGGCCGAGCAGCTGTAGGAAACCCGCTCGACGTGCAGGAAAATCCCTCGAGGGGGTGCGACGGGTATCGCCGTTCCTCTGACAAGTTACTTTTCGTGGGTAGAGCGTGGATCAGAATTGGCCAAACTTGGTAACCTGTTCATCTGGGAATTTACTTGGCTCCGTGTAATGACATTCGGTTATTTATTTGTTGGGATTTACAGGTAGAAGTAGATCTGGGTCTAAAGTTAGAAGAAAAATATGTTCGTTCTAGCGAAATGGGAACTTAGTTCAGGCTTTTAGGACCATTGATGTCCTCCAGAAAAGCAGCTCATAACTTCCCAGCCTCTGCTTTGTGCTGCTTTATTTTTCCACACCTGCATTGTTGACCTTATCCTGGCACAATCACCAAAGGGAGAAAAAAATGCAATAGAATCATAGAATCACAGAATGGTTTGGGTTGGAAGGGACCTCAAAGATCATCTAGTTCCAACCCCCCTGCCATGGGCAGGGACATCCTCCACTACCCCAGGTTGCCCAAAGCCTCATCCATCATACTTTGGTTCCATTTTCAGCTCCTGTACGACATAGCAGCAGCCATGGGAAAAGAATGTTTATTATCAAGGCAACGAGTTTTTATGATACTCGATTTCTGAACTTGTTGGTGAGTTAAAAACAAATTTATTTTGTTCAGTATAACATGCCTTACAAATCGTGTAAGAGTGTCTAAAATACAATTTTCTCTATTGTTTATGTGACAGCATGTAAAATGTGGTTAGCACTATTCGCTTATGAATTTCCAATCCTCCTCCTGAAGAATGTTTTTGTCATATGTCGTTAAATCAGGGCCAGATGAAGTAATAAGACTGGCTAAATGGCAGAGATTGCAATGGGCACTTAAATTAAGGCTGTAGTAGCATTCTTAAATTATGTGCCTGTGCTTATATAATGTGTAACCTACAAATGCTTTCCACTCTGTCCTTCTTTTTAAAACACATGAGGTTACTCTTCTGCAGAGTTTGCCTTCAATTCCCTAAACCGCTAACACCAGAGATTAGACTTAGGGAGCCTGACCTGAGTTTAACCCCTCAAAAGCTAGGTGTCGGGTGAAGCCTGTTATGATGATAACAGCCAACCTGATACAATCCCTGAGTGCCATCGGGCTTCCTCTATCTATCTTCCACAGTTTCCGAAGCCAGCAGTGGGTTTATTTCTGTCGGATTATATGGCTTTGGTGTTGGTGCCTTGTTACAGCAAAATGCTGAAGCCAGCCATCGCAAGATGCTGAGACCACGTTCAGGGAAGGCATTACTGTCTGCTTTGGCAGAGGCTGACCTTCCTGGGAGATGGAAAGCTGAACTAAATGGGTTCATGGACTGACACAGAATCACTGTTTCTGTGTTCTGGTTTGTTAATGAACTCATTTTAGGTTTTTTGAACTCATTTTAAGTAGCAGTATGTCTTTACATACAACATCCCTATCTAACTTATGAATGCAAATCTAAGAACTCTTGGCTGTACATGATTTTCAGACTAACTTCATCTAAATTTTGTCAGGCTTCTCAGTTTCTCATACTGTTTCTTTTTCTTTTTGTCCCCTGTACAGAGATTCTATGTATTTCTGACGGGAATACCAGTGGCACTATTCATAACATATGTCAACATCTTCATTGGTGAGTGCTGTCATGACTAAGCTAAGTACACAGTCAAAATTCTTAAATAGATAAATGGCAACTAAGCATTCTAGATAAGAAAAAAAAAGGTCTTTTAAGACTTGCTCCTTGGAAGACCATGAAATAGGCCTAATGGTTATGGTAATATTGTCTAAGTACATAGAAGAAGTTGCCAGTATTTTTCTTTTTCTATAGTTGTTGCATTTTTCTAAAAGCTGCCCACATTTTTAAAAACTGAAAAATTCCATCTTTTGATAGTCTTTCAAGCATCAGTGAGGTTTAGTGAACACTTCTGTATTCAGATGAGGAGTCTGTACCACTTTTGTTTTACATACTTCTTTAAGAAGGCTGCATACACTGCAACTGTCACTTTTTATCTAGTAAAAAAGCCAAAATTCTGCTTGGCAGTAAGTGTTTTAAATCTACTACTGTAATAGTGTGGAATTAACTTAATAGAGAAATTAAGAAAAATCCGTGCCTTCAGCTCTTATACTTGAAAGGGCATTTCTGTGGACTTGATCTTAGTTATTTCTTCTGCATAGCTGCTAATTCCACCCTTTTGTTGTGTGGCTTAAAGGCTATGAGCTGGATACATGCAGTGTGAAGTGTCTGGAAAAATTACAAATCCCATTTTTCTAAATAGAGCTCAGATTGAGAGATTAAGTACTCTCCATGTAAAATAATGATGTTTTCCTACTGGGAAAGGCAGAATATAAAGTACTTAGAAAAAAAAAAAAATACTTGAATTAAATGTTCCTCCCCTTTTTTCCTTGTCAGGTGAAGCTGAACTTGCAGAGATTCCCGAAGGTTATATTCCAGAGTATTGGGAATACTACAAAGTGAGTGCAACATAGAAAAAGGTGGCATGTTGTGGACAGTCTTCCTCTTGATGATACTTTTGAGAGTAAAACGTACGGAGTCTGATAATGAGGATGGCCATATACCTGCCATTGGGTATCAGTGCAGTAGAACTCAAATTGTGCAATTATGATTTTGGTAAACTTGCTTTTTTTTGGTTTCATGGAACATGCGTGTTGCTGTAGGAAACCTGTTTATTGACACAAGTAGATGGAAATGATCTGTAACTTTATGCTAAACTGCTGAAGCTATATGCCAAGAATTCTTTTGTAATATTCCTGAACAGTAAGAACAACCTTCTGTTCTCTTTATTCTTAGCATGCAGTTTTTGTCTTTGTTTCCTGCTCTGAAACTACAGCATCCTAAGATCCTGGAGTTTGAAGTGACATTACTTTCTTTTGTATTGTCTCCAAGCGTTGTTTCAACATCCAACATCACATGTGCTTTTACATCTAGAATTGAAGATTTTTCTAGTCAGAAATGCAAGGTTTTCTAGTCAGAACGCAACTGTTTCCATTTTGTTGTATTTTCTGAGTTAGTCCCCAGCTTCATGCTGCGAGCACTTTTTTGGTTTTGATAGGAAGTAATTGAATTCAGCAATACTATTCTGACCGTTTAAGTAATTTAGACTTTTGTTCCTAGTGAAATGGCATCTTTGTGGAAGCAAAACTTTTAAAATAGAGGGAGGTAGACTCAGATTGGATATTAGGAAAAAATTTTTTACCATGAGAGTTGTAGAACACTGGAACAGGTTGCCCAGAGAGGTGGTGGATGCTCCATCCCTGGAGACGTTCAAGGCCAGGTTGGACGAGGCCCTGAGCAACCTGATCTAGTTGGAGATATCCCTGTTCCTTGCAGGGGGGTTGGACTAGATGACCTTTGAAGGTCCCTTCCAGCCCTAACCATTCTATGATTCTATGATTCTATGAATTCAGCAATACTATTCTGACTGTTTAAGTAATTTAGACTTTTGTTCCTAGTGAAATGGCATCTTTGTGGAAGCAAAACTTTAAAACGTTACTGATTACGGTAAGAGGTTTTGAGTCCGTTTCTGTGATTACAGTGGCAGTTTAATGAACTTCAGCAGAAAGAAAACAAATCACATCTTCCACTAACTTTTAATTTTGCCACAGAATAGTCATTTGCAGATTATTTTGGCTTTCAAAATGGCAAAGAAATACAGGTTTTTAGGGTTCTGATCTTCCAAATGGTTGAGCATGTTTTTAACTTTACTATTATGGTTTGAATGGCAGCACCCATAGCGTTGATGACGTTTTCAGGCCTGGGACCATGCAATATGATTCAGTTATGATGACATTTCTGCTTGGAAATTGTACGAATAACCTCCGCTTTTATATTTTTTAGCACCCTATAAGTCGCTGGATAGCTCGTTATTTACTCGACCCCCCTGAAAAGAACTATGAGAAAGAGATGGCTTTGCTTGATGTTGAAGCGAAGAAAGCTGAACTGAGGTACGTTACATAGTTGAAGTGTTTTAAAATACTGACACGTGTTGCAGTTGACTGATTTTGCGTAACGTACTGTGTTGGATGCTGATGTAACATGCCATGTACCACTTGACCCTGGGTGCTTGCTGCACTGGCTGGTGCCAAAGTGGAAGTTACAGTATCCGTAGTCCCTGCCTTCTCAGTAATTTTAAGATTACCAGAACTGGAATGATCCAAGGGCGGTCTTGTAAAATAACAATGTCTCTTCAGGAGAGTTCATGTTTATAAAGGTATAGCTCTGTCTTCCTGAGTCAGGAAACGAACAACTCTTTTGCCTCTATTAGTGCTTAATTGAGTAGCTAAATAACAGCTTACAGGACTGGTCAGGTTCCATGTTGGTGTTGCAAATTTTGTGGGCAGCAACGACGTTGTACAGAGTTTATTCTGTACTTACTCAGAGTAAACTGTGGTGGTAGAACAAAGTCTGAGTTCCACGAACTGTTGCTATTGAGACCAAGACAGTATAGCTCCTTCTGCCATCACATTTACTTCTGATTTTCTTGCTCCTACTTATTTTTAGTTGAGAGCTGTGTCAAAACTGTCTGGCCTTTTACTAGGCAAGAACCTGTGACAGAACTACAAGTATATTTTTATTACTCTTTTGTGAGACAACTTGCTGAAAAAGAAAGAAATAGAAGGATGTAATAGCCCATGTTTTAGTTGAACCCTTCCTATTTTGGTATTACCTATGCTCCAGGAGTATTTCTAAACCGTAGCTACTAAATTCATTGCTGTTGTCAGTAATGCTCTGATGTTAAACATTAATATATGTATGATTAAAACCAATAAACGTCATGTTGAGTGTTATTGTGGCTTTTTTTTTTTTTTTTCAGACTGATGGAGTTAAAGGCACGCAGACTGATGAGACACAGGGGAGATGGACCTTGGTATCATTATGAAACACCAGATAAAAATCTTACTGACAATTCTATGAAATCCACACCTGACAATTAAAGAATTTTAAGACAGTACACACGGTCTTAAATGCATACCAACAAATTGTGACTGAGCTACGTAATATACATCCTGCTGTTTGCTGACAGAAATGAATAAAAATAAACAACATTTGTGTTGACTCTGATAATTTGAAAGAAACTGTGTGGCAGTTAAGCTCGGATAGCTGTTCAGGTTGTTAGTCAGAGAAACTGCCTTATGTCAGTTGCCAACAATTACTCCTTTTCTCCAGAACACCAATGTGGAACGGGCTTTGTGACCTAATATATGTGACACAAGTTGGTAGTCTTAGTCTTCATCATGTGATTTCTAGTATTTAAAGTTTTAAATGAAAGGTACAAGAAACTGTAAGGCTTTTTTATTTCGAAATGGCTTGTGTCAGGTAATTTGTGGAAGATGAACTAAGGAAGAAAAATAACTTCAGATCTTTGAAATATTAGGATTATATCTACCACTTTAGACAAATATGTTATTTCTCCTTACTTGTAGTCAAACTCATCTTTCACTGTTTTTTCCCAACTTGCATATTGTTCAACATCTGCTATCATTTTCTCTGCATTATCTCAGAAGTTTCTCTCTTTACATTTAGTACCCTTCATCCCTGATAGTATCAGCCATGCTGCTGCTTCATTAGTTTTGTCACCAGTTTGAAAATGTTTCCTCTTATGTATGTGTAATTTATGTTTGTCCACTCTTTCATTTTCTCCAGTCTCACCTCTTTTACAGTCTGTGTCTGGAAAAGTCTTCTTAAAGAGACTCTTAAAAAATACATAATTTAAAAAAAAAAAAAAAAACCAACACAGAATATAACTGACAGAATTCTGTGCATCGTTCAGAACTGGACACTTCTCTGCATAGATCATCCAAAAAGTGGTCTTTTCTAGAATTCTAGAACATCTTTCAACATTGCTCTGGTTATTTTTTTGTTTGCTTGGCTGGGTTTTTTTAATGTTGCTAATGTTTTAAGCAATGTTTTCACGTTATTGATACTGTTAGCTTTCTGCTTCTTGTAATGGGCTTAGTAAGATGAGCAAGGGAAAAATGGGAAACTGCTTATTGAAGGTTATTACAAAAGGATCGCTAAATGTCTGAAGAGCAAGGATCAAGCCAGGGAGAATGATACAGGTTGCCATTTTAATGAGTTTTATGGATCATCTTATCACTGCTGGCTGAACAGATACCATCTTCTGTGGTGTAATTACACAACTTTTAGTAAATAAAAATTCAAATCTGGACAGCAAAATCTTGAAGTGAAAAGTTCAAGCTTTATGCTCCCAATGCGTTTAGCATAGAGAGGCCACATAAGTGATTTTGGAGATGAAAAGGATAAACCTTTCTGGTAACGTTTAGGATTATTCAAAGGCTTCTTTTCCAGAGTGAATTGGAATTAAAAAAGCAAACCAAAAGAGTTTATATATGTTGTGGTTTAACCCAGCTGGCAGCTACACGCCATGCAGCTGCTTGCTCATCCTCTCCCACCCCCAGGGGATAGGGAAGAGAATCAAAGGGGAAAAGGAAAGGAGACTCGTGGGTTGAGATAAGAACAATTTAATAATAATAAAAGTAACAATGATAAAAATAATAAAAATATTATTATCTATAATAATATATACAACGAAGTGATGCACAGTGTAATTGCTCACCACCTGCTGACCAATGGCTGTCCCATTCCGGCTAGCAATCTTGAAACAGGAAATTCTCAAAACTGCAATTCTGGAAGAGCGAGAGTCCCAAAAAGAGATCCAAAGAGATCGAGAGACTCAAACTTCCCAGCCAACCCTCATCTATATTCTGGCTATAACGTTGCATGATATGGAATATTCCGTTGGCCAATTTGGGCCTCAATCCTAAATCTAATCTCGAATCCTAAACTAAAGGAACATCGAGGGTACTCTCTTTATCTGGCAAACTTTGCCACTAGAGGGACTTGTTTCCTCAGGTTCTACCGGCCATGGTGCTCCTCTGGTTTTAATTCTCTCAAGGGAGTGATGGAAAGTGCCTCTTACCGTTCGTGACCCTAAACTATCCATATCCAAAATTCTCACTTTTTAAAGGAAATAAATCCAAGTCCTCTAGTAACCCATGACCATCTTGTGGTTTCAAACTGTTAAAACACATAAATTTTTTACCTTAAGCAACGTTGCACAGACTATTTTAAGCAAAGGCCTCCTTGTTTGCTGTTTCCTAGCAGTGCCAAACATGAGGAAGACTGTGATTGATTTTGTACCAGTGCTTTGACTTGTCCTTTTTGTTGGAGTCAATCTTTCAGGTTAGATGGCTTGTATGTCACCTTATACATACATATAGGCTCTTACAGTCCATAAATGGTGAGTCAATCGTAAGAGAAGCCACTAAAACAGCACAAAACCCTCTCAGGCAAAATAAATCTGTCTAGTGACCCTATTAATTTGTGGGTTTTATCCAGCATCCAGCGATACTCGCAAGTCTTTGATGCAATGTCTGTTCTTGAGTAAGTGTGAGGCCACTCCATTGACATCATATTCTGCTCTTGGTACTTCACATTGTTCCCAACACTTGATTTTTCGCTAGAAAAATTGCTGAGAACAGACTGCACTGGTGTGCTCACTCTCCCAGCCTGTTTCTTCACAGCTGGATGCAAACTTATTTTTCAACTCTGTTGTTGAGATTTTACTAGAATCACCTTTTGAAACTTTTGAAGTAAAAGGTGGTTCTAGCACAGGTCACATCACCTGCTTGGAAGTGATCATTGAATCCTTGGATACAACATGGACTACGGGTGGAAGGCTATTCATCTACATTATACACCTTCATTTTAAATGGATCAGTCATTTCTTTAATCCTGCTGCTGTCAGGGACATGCAATAGTTATTTGAATTTTTTTTTTTCAATGTTTTTTTCTACAAACTTACCTCACTCTATTCATCCTTCCACTAACTCCGAACTGAAAAGTAAAGAGAAACACAGTAAAAGCCAAAAAAAGATCGTCTTAAGCTACAGGTACCGTCCCTCGAGACACAAAACCTGGATTTGGCTACTGGCACTGCCACGGGCTTCCGAGGGCATCTCAGGCCGGGCATTCCCGCTCTGTATCCCAACAGCTCGTCCTTCCGCACCGACCCACTCCGCTTGCCCGGGCA